CGAGTCTAGTAACTGACAAAACTGCCTATACTTGCCGATTAGTGGCCATAAACATATAAATACAATACAGTCTGTTTATAACGCACTTAATAACATATTTTATAGTTAAAGCCAAATAATTACTTTTGTTCGGATTTCCCTAGTGACATACGCTATCATAATTTATACACGTAATACACACTCATATAGGAACAGTCTAATTAACGATACTGTGATGAATTTGTTTTTGCGTATATGTTGATCAACTTAATTAGCTGATTACTAGCTAATGGATGTGTTATGTCTGTCATCGTTTCGGCCCATTTGAGGTTCTGAATGGAAATCGACTCAGTGATTTGGAACTAATTACGAGATAACCGTCGCAATTTGGACTACTATTTCTGACAGTTAGTATTCGCAATTATTAATGTAGTGAACGATTAATCAAAAGATATGACGTATTCAGTACTTAGTGTGATTGGCTTTATGATTGAAGGTTACGCCCTAGAGTCTTTTTACTGCTTTGTAATTGGTTAAGGTTTTGAAAATGAATAAAGAGAGTTTGAGTTGGTCTTGGCGAGTACACCACAACAGACGCAGTCCTGGAGAGTCTTGGGGCGAGTCTTGAAGCAGTCTTGGGCGAGTCTTGAGTAAGCCTTGCGATAGTCTTGGGGACTTTTCCCCAGGGCACTGTGTCTCATAGAGTGCTCGACTGACCGACTAAGACGAGAGTTGAAACGTATTTCGCTGTGTGCGTCTATTTGAATGTAAAGCTTAAGTGACTTTCCCGACCCAGTACCTCAAGGGGACGCGATAGAGAGACAAGACGAGATTCCCCCCTGACACGTGTGGAGAACCCCTCAGAGAAGATTTTCCCCCTGATAATACAATCATCGTCCGATTCGTCCGGTTTCTTGAACCTTGTCAAATATGGCCGTCCCAATGATTGTCCATGAGCAGGGAGATCACATAATACGAATTGTTTAACAAAAATGTTGCTTTCAAATAGGGCCTGTATACCAATAGAGACTGTATATAGAATTTTCCAGAAATCACTAGATTGTAGAAAAGTTCCAAAATTATGGAAATTATCAGAAATAATCCCAAAACACCCAATCCTCTCATTAATAATGATTTTAGACCAGTGGCTTTAACGCCCATCCTTACGAAATGTATGGAAATAATTGTGAAAATTCATCTAGTAAAACAGGTTAAACCATATGTAGACGAGTACCAATTCGCTTACACATCCAATAGGAGTGTAGACGATGCTGTACTGGAGTTCATATTGAAGCACGTAGATAAGTTAAACTCACAGACAGTTAAAAACTATGTTAAAATTGTATTCATTGATTGTTCATGTGTATTTGTCACACGCAACGTAATAATACCGTAATTAATATAGTACAGGTGTGATGGTTCAAATACCAAAATGGCAACAGTAACATAAAGACTTCCCTGGCGGCGATGATAACATAGCGAACACGGAGCCAACAGATGAGGTTTCAACTGGTACTGGTATTATTATACTCTGCAAACATCAAGTACAATAACGCGGTAAAACTCCACTACTCCAATAACTAGATACTTAAACTCCAATACAATTCAACGAGATCTCCGATCTGATCTCAGTGCTGAACAACTCCCCTATATATACCCCCACTGTCTATAAATAGACCATTACATCAGCATACATAATTAGTCTGGAACTTACTACCAATTTCCAGAATGTTCCATTACCTTCTATTGCCTCCTACAGTGTTCTATTACCTATTCAACCAGTTTCTAAACAAAATCTAGAATATTCCACCCAGACACAGTACGGTTCTAGAACATTTTCAGTGACACGGAAGTGGTACCTAAGTCGTATGCGACAGTATTATTATACTGAATAAATCTTAAAACCAAAATTGTGGCACTCAATCATGGCAATCTTCCAGGTCATCGTTAGAAAGATTTTCGGAGGAAAATTTAATCTCAACTCAAGGCTATCTTGAAGGATTGCAGGAAATTGACCCTTACCGATTCATATTTATGAATTAATTGGGAATGAGGTACCATAGAGTTTGTAACAGAGTATTCCTGATGATACGGAGAGAAAAAAAAAATGTGCGCGTGGTATTTTTCATGCAAACATTGTCAAAGGTTCCCCGACACTGATTCGTTTTTAACTTTAAATTTTGCCAATACGTGGCAAACCCTGCTCATGACCGAAGATGTCGTCAAGATGCAGGTGCAGTTCCTCTTCACAGCGTGTTCTATTTATTTCCAACGCAAGTGGTCGGCGCCTTTGATTGCGTGTATTTTGTTCTTTTATTCACGAAATCTATCACTGGCAGCTTTTGTTTTGTCGCGTCTCACAACTTAATGTCCAAGCGCAAAAATAAAAACCATAATTGTAATTCAACAAGTTTATGTAACATGTTAGTCCACTTGCCTAGCTTGCCAGCCATCTAGTTAAAAAACGCGATTTCCATTGATGTCAGCTTCAAAAACTTCAGACAAGTAAGATGGGCGCTGGCTGACATTACATTTGCAAGTATTGTATTTGTTTGACAAATAACAATCGATTGGTCATTTTTTTTACAGTCTTACTATTCCTTCAGATATTCTTCAAATATTATAGGTGCCACGGATTTACAAAACTACAACTTGACCTGTGTTAAACCCAAACCATGCGTGCATGGCAACCGTCACCCTACACAAGGTTACTCGTCATTTTTTGCTCTCCACCAAAAATAGATGGTTTTATTTCATATTAGTTGTGTCTGTGTCAGTGCCGTATTTGATTTCACATGTTTGGTTCAATCTTGTTTATGATGGACATTATCACTACCAATTTTATATGGCAGTGTGATCGAGCGTATTTTTTCAATGGTCGTTTCTGATTGTATTTATTTTTCTTTTAACATCATAAAAACAAAAATGATACACTTGTACATGAAACAATAGG